TTTTTTTTTTTTTTTGTCGTTGGGACTGTTCTGAAATGTCACAATATATGCTGGTCATAAACTGACCGCAGAAGGAGCAAGGAACAATCGTTTCTTGTCATTTTTATTGTATTTTATTTTTTCGTAAATACAACAAAGCACTCTTTAATTATTATGCATATACCTTACGCACATGACATTCTGGTCCTTTTATAGCAACACCACTGTCACATTTTACAAAATCAGTTCTTATTATATACTTTACCACTGTGTAGAATTCAAACTGAAGAGAGAAAATGTGATGGATGAGGAGGTGAGAAGCTATGCTGCAGGAGGAGCCTGGATGAAGTTGGACCTAACGGAATGAGTTGAGTTTGTAATATAAGAACGCTTTAGAAATGATGTCATCTCTATTGCCAAGTTATTTAAATCGAGAAATATTGCTTCCTTAGTTGGGATTTTATTGAGTGAAAGAGAATGCTGAGAATAAAAGAGCTGTCGGTCTCAAAGCTGAAACTACAAACAGAGGGATCTTATGTGTGAACCGCCATGATTCCAGTTTATATGTGAACTAAAAAAAGAAAAGAAAAAAAAAAGGTCCTGGCACATGACAGCATTATCCAACATGTAAAGCCAATGTTTACTAATTAATGGGGAGAAAATTAAGAAGCGTATGAAGTGTCACTTGCACATGTATCCCACAAACCCCTTTCATGTCCCCAGGAGAGAAATTATTTATTTATCTGCTTATTGGTTTTATGAAAGCAAAACAAGCTGAGAGGAAAGAAAGCTGGCTTTAGGCAGGAGTAATTTTTTTAAAGTGGCACTGGGTTTGTTTAATTTTAATGTTTGTTTCTTTTTTTAAATTATTATGATCATGGTTATTATTACGATATTACTGATAATTATTTATTCTTTTTTGTATGGGTTCCAAGTTGAATGATCTCATAACTAATATTTGTTGTAACAGTGAAAGTTGTTTGCCAACAAATAAATTACTGACATAGTTTTGTGGGGTGTTTTGTGTGTGTGCTGAGTGATTTTGGTCTATGTAATTGGATT